AATAACTACAGCATAATTATACATTTACCTAATATTCAGTTTTCACACATTATGAATAATGTAGCTGTTTGAGTTTTAAAGTAATTTTCATCTTTCAAAAAGAAACGGTTAATAAAATTTAAGCGGATTTTTCTTGGCAAGAGCCGAATTTTCCTTAAGGCTAAAGAGTTAGTTGACCGAACCTCATCGCTGTAGGCTAGTAACTTGTATGTAAGACGTTAAAGCGAATGTTTAAAAATTTAAAGTGGAGTTTCCGTCGACATACATCGCGAGGCTTCCCGATAAACATCCCCGGGCGTCAGGTCGCCGGCCGGGTTGCTTTGTTTACGGTCTACGCGCCACTACGTGATCTATTATACTCAACTCAGCTACACTACACGCCTCTTCTAACTGAAAATAACTGACTCAACGTCACATTGTTCAACGGTCTGCATTATTCTAAATATAATAAGTTTTACATAGAAATTTAAATTTCACGTAGTTTTTCTCCAGCTAAAAGGCCTAAAGATTCAAATTAGGTAGATACTTATTCGGATTACCTATTTAACTCCACATCTACAATTGTGTTTTCCTATGTACCTGATACAATATAATATAATATGTGTATTTTAGTTTCGAGACAGGCAAAAACCAACTTATTTAGGTCTGACTCTATTCAGGTCCCAGCAACTTATTTAGATCGTTTTTCTACCTATGAATTCTGTGAACTTTTAAAAACATCAATAGAATTTTTACTCTTTGCATGGCCTAGGTCTTTTCCATACAAGGATTTCTTGTGTCGTGAGGCCCCATGGTGTTGGTAGTTGATATTGTAACGTAACCGTTTAGTAGCATAATAAGGGAAGCTATCTCCTCCTAGTGCGTGAGGAATGGAACGATCCACCTTACTCCCAAGCCAACCGTAAGAGACAATCCGGGAGTCGGAGACTGCGCAACCATCTCCGGCTCGCAGTCCGGATAGGTCTAGTAAGCCTACTCATGACAACTTCGATGCTATATATTTGAAGTCAAATGAAGATTTGACGATTTTCTAGACAAAAACGTGTAAATTTAAAATTTTATTTGCATATATATTATGTATTCTACCTTGGGAAATACTTTAAAAGGGACCTAGCTTTTGGGGAAAAAAACTAAGGAGTATAGGATGTTTACCTCACTAAAACCTCTCTTGTGGCCACTATCAACACCTGTAAGGGACACTTGGTCCTCTCAGTAGACCAACTCTGGATTATCTACGGTACTAGGCTAGCCTAGCTGTGCGCTGCGCACGGCAGCACGTAACTACTCCATGCGGTATGGAGTGAGCGTAGGCTGTGCGGAGTCCTGTACTCCTCTGCAGTGGTATCTATAGTATATCTATATATATAGTGGTGGTATGGCCCAATCTTGTTTAGGTACCCACCGAAACAACCATGTCCGCCGTTTTCGGTCAACACCGGAGTGAGCCTGAAAGTGGTAATTTCTTCTTTATTCAGCTGGGCGTCGGAATGGGGGAGAATAGCTTCGACAAAGCGATGACGTGAGTAATCCGGCTGTTATAGTCGCTCAAGGCATGGCTCAAGTGCGTGTCGCCTTTTTGTCTAATTATCTATATTCCTGGTATCCATTACTACACGTACCTATTATAAGAAATAAAATTATCTTTATATGAAAAAGGCTCTACAAGTTTCAAGTCACAACGGGATTCTTATTCATTATCAGCGAGCGCGTCGCAGCAACGTTATGCAGCTGACTATTATTAATAATAAATTAAGTACGGTAAATAGGTACTTATATTCAATATACCTTTCTATTCTCCAGGTATATATGAGGTATCAAACTATAGCGATAAAGTTAATAGGGAGAAAAAATTAAGAACTCAACACTTACACAAACACAATATCTGGTCGGTTACCTAACTGTGGCTTTTTTGCAGAGCGAGTAAGTGCAGTATAATTTCCTTAATTAAGACTCGACGTATCAAGCCATTTAAAAACTAAGGAATGCGCTAGGGCTTTAATTAAAGTCGTGATCAAAGGGTCAACTCTCAGGAAGTGCGCACAAATTGAAATGAGAGACTTTGTGACTCTAACAATCCGACGAATATTGTCGTAGGCATAAAACGATAACAAAAGGCAGCAAAAAGAAGGCATTTTATCCTCATGCTAAAAAAATGTAATGCCCTCAGCAATTTTAAAAATACCTACATAGCTGCTGTTGTATCAAGATTAGTGTTGAGACATACCTATTTCTGCTTTCTTTCTTGGGGATAAATAGGAGTAATACTATTATCTACCTATAATTATTTTTATAACTCTACCCATCCGATCAAATTAAACTACTTAATTGGTAACCCCTATCAATTTCTTTAAATTAAAACACGCAAACCATTGCACAATGAATACTTAGATACTTTAACAGTTCAATTGTAGTAATTCGAGACACAATTGAAAAACTAGAAGTTGCGAAAGCCGGTGTTCGCTTGGGGTTTGAAACCCGCAAAAACACCTTTCATAGTAAAGTTATGATCTAATTAAAATAGCAATTAGTAGGAATATAATGATGTCCGTATTTATAAAAGATTTATAAAAGGAACAGTTTAAAAACCAAGATCTGATTCAGCATATAATAGTATACCTATATATATTTACAACATAACTACTACGATAAATAAGTAATTTAAAATATAATAAAATTACTCCAAATATTACACCTACTCATATTTTGTATGTTAACACAACGCAGTTGTGGCGCCCTCTTGCAAATGCAGATAAGGTATATTTTTAAGGTGTTGTTATTTATTTAAAACAAAGCATGAACAAAACATTTAATAAAAAAAATATATATTAAAATTTGTGTAGGTATAACAACTGTTTATGGGTTGATATTACCTATTGTATTACTCTGGAACGCAGCATAATTTTGTCTTTGTCACTGAATACGGTGTGAAGTTAGCTGCGAGTCTTGTGACGTTCGATATTCGGACTATTCGGAGTTGGCTATTTTATCTGTGGAATTTTGCTCTCGTCAAAAACAAAATTGACATTCGTTTGTTTACTTTTGGTTTTACAAGTTTTTTTGAGTTGCACTTTTTAAACAAATCGTTAAATAACTATTGCATTATTAGCAAAGTTTTCTAATTTTTTATTACTTAAATCTTAATATGAAATAAGAGATCTGATATTGTTGGTGACAGAAAGCAACAAACGAATAGCAGAGATTACAGCAAAATAAGCATCTATATAGTAAGTTTAACTAATGATTACCTATAAAATATAATAATTGAATTAGTGTAATTAAAGTTATTAGTCGAAAAATTTTTGAATATGTAGAATTTACATTAGTTATTATTTCGAGTTTGAGGTTATTTTCGTATTTTGTTTGATATGTTAATTGAATTGAACAACTGTTTAACAAATGCATTTTATTCAGTAAGTGTTTACCTAGATTTCATTGTACTTAATTTAATAAACGCACAATTTTGTTCTTATCATGCTTAATATATTTTTATCTCGTAACATCGTGGCGACGAGCAGATAAGGGTTGCGATGCCGGCTTCATGAATGAATTAAGATTACGATACGTGGACGCAACGATGTGCAGCTTAAGAACAAAATTTTTACCTTTACATATTTTATTTTAGCCTCAACTATGGAGCCGATCATCACAGAAGATTCCGAGAAAATTATAATTAATTTACTACAGAAATGTCAACTGGACGCCGAAAAACTGGAGCCTATTCATTTCAAAGATGTTAAAACGAGAGTGTTATATTACTCTGGAATCTCTCGGAAAAAGCTGGAAACAATAATAGGGAGATACTCATCCAGAGAATGTACAAAAAATCATTGTGTCGATTTTGATACTCATGTAAAAATTTTAAAAAGTCTTTTATATTTCTATGAAGATAAATTGCACCCAGCCTTCAAGTCTTTATTCGAATATACAATAGACACACAACCAGCTACGTGCGAGATAAACTATTATCAATTTATACATGATATGCAAATGATAAGTATTGATCATCAACCCATTTTTAATGGAAGAATGCTTCTTATGGAAGACCCGAAGGTAACGTTTGAAAGAGGAATATTTCTGAAGAAAATGAAAGAAATTCGACAAAGTGGTTTGAACATATATTACATCAGTGAAAGAATAATAGATAATGATTTTAAATTTCCGAAGCCCTGGATACGAAATTGTAAAAGTTCAAAATTAGTAACCCATGAACACGTATTCTTCCACGCTATATCTAAACAGGGTTTTACTAATGGAATATTTTGCTACTCCCCAACTGAATACGATTTTTACAAATGGATAATAGATATCTTGATTCCATCGTTGAAAACTGCAAGTGTGATCGTATTTGACAATAGTCCGTTACATGGAACCCCAAAACCGAATAAAATATCCATTTTTGACACAACAGATGAGATGAGACAATGGCTACGTGAAAATAATATACCACACACTGACTCTATGAAAAAGTTTGAATTATATCGTCTTATTGAAAACTGTGTATGTAATCTTGATCAATCAGCTCAAGTTGATCGGGTTATAAAAGCAAATGGTCATCAAGTAATGCGATTACCTATTAATTTTGAATATTTGTCGCCCATAGACCAAATCTGGCAAAATATTCTGAAATTTCAATCAGTATCTCGGACTGACATTCATAATGACATAGTTAAATATTTTTTTGAAATACCTGCAACCGCGTATGATTTATTATACAAAAACGTTGAAGAAAAAGAAAACTCTCTGTCTGAATTGGATGGAAAGATTGATCAAGCTTTGGATCAGTTTCTAAAAGATTTAAAAAAACAGTAATTATGTACCAGAGTAATAACATAGCTATAATTAGACACCTGTTAATGTTGAATTAAAGTACTGATATAAAATAATAGTTTAATTAAAATCATTTATTATCAAATATACCCAAGCTGCTAACTAAATCCAGCCTCGCACTCTTTCATTCTTAACCCTTAGTTGATTAGCCATCCCATTCATTCCGAATCTGAATGAGTAGGTAGGTACTCTAAGAAGTACCTACACTTCTACTTACATGAGCTACGCTGTGGTTAAGAATGTTCGACAAAGCAAATGTGCCTTTTTGGGTGTAAATAATACCCTTAAACAAAATAAATAATGAAGAAGGGACCGACAGTTTGCCGACGTGAGGCTAATTGTTGCGAATTGTATTTAATTTTCATTTGCTGTTGGCAATGTCAGCGGTAAACGACAACGGGCGCTATGCCGAAACGCCCGAAGCGATAAATCGATTCAAAAAGGATTTAATTGTTGATACCAGTTGAAAAGTTAGTATTTAAATAAAAACTCTAAATACCTACCTAAATTGAACAAGACAATGTTATCTGGACAGATTAGTTCAGTACTTGTGTAATTATAGGGTTCAAATTAATACAACTACAAACGAATCTTATAACTGTTTACTTATTTACTACTACATACTTGATTGGAAAAGTCATTGCGACCTCGAGGTTAAGGCGCCATTTTCATGCATGGGGGTGTGGGTTCGAAACCGGCCAAGTACCAATGTGACTTTTTCCGAGTTATATATATGTACTTTCTGAGAATATTTAGACACCACTGACATACGGTGAAGGTACACATCGTGAGCAAAAAAAGTTTAAAATCGCCAACCCGCATTGAGCAAGCGTGGTGATTAATGCTCGCGCCTTCTACGTGTGAGAAGAGCCCTTTGCTCAGCATTGGCCACTTATAGGCTGATGATGATGATGATGATGATGACTTGATATGTTAAGTTTTTTATGTGATGGGATAGCAAGCGAGCAGATGGATTACCTGATGGAAAGCAATCAGCGCAGCCCACGGACCCGCAACAACGACGTTACAAGTGCGTTGCCAGTGCCACCCATTTGGGAATAAGGGTTTGGGAGATTTAGGAATCCGTGGAAGGGAAGGATTGTGTCTCCGAACTCACACAACGCTTTCCAATAGCTCTTCAACAGTTGTCAATCCGACTCCAGGCCTTACCAACTTATTAAAAAAAATATTACTATTAAGTGTTAAAAACTCGAATTCCAGAGAATTTTAAAATCAACAACACCTGCAACAGTAGTTACCTACTATTAACTTCAGCCTAACCGCGGCTTAAGAATATTAAAATTGTCGTCATGTTTTTTATTTACTTATCTACTTACCTATTTTTTTTTTATGTGATAGGACGGCAAACGAGCTGACGTATTACCTGATGGTAAGCATTCGGCGTCGCCCATGGACACCCGCAACAAAGGAAGGAGTTACGAGTGCGTTGCCGACCTTTTAAGGATTGGGATTTTGGGACTGGGAAGGGATTGGGGTAGGGGAAGGATTGGGCCTCCGGTAACCTCACTCACACGGCGAAACACAACGTTGTGGTTGTTTCACGCCGGTTTTCTGTGAGGCCGTGGTATCACTCCGGCCGAGCCGACCCATTCGTGCCGAAGCATGGCTCTCCCACACTTAAAATTTGCTAAGAATAAGTATATTATTTGAAAGCTTATGCTCAAACATTAATGTAGGTGGTAAACTAAATGCCAAAGCATTCTCTGCTGGTCGTACCTATGAGTGACGAAGAGAGTCAACGGTGAGTGGCAGAAGCAAAGCAAAATCCAGACACGTCATTTGATTCTCTTGTACCTAAAGTATCCACCAAATACCTATGTATTTTGCGGCAAACGCACAAGCGGTTTACTTGATGGTAAGCAATCGACGCCGCTCATAGCCACCAAAAACACGAGAGGAATATTATGAGTGCGTTGCCGGCCTTGGAGATTAGGGTTTCAGATATTAAGGAATTGGGGAGGGAAAGATGAACTGGGTCTCCGGTAATCTCACTCACACGGCAAAACACAACTCTGTGGTTATTTCACTCCGGTTTTCTTTGAGGCCATTGTATCATTTGTGCCAAAGTAGGAGAAGGAGAAGGAAAATATTTCCTTCACTTCAACGTTCACACATCTACGTTAACAATTCTATATTACAAAGAGTAATTGTGTTTGTGAGCCTTAAGCTGGAACAAAGTTATAAAGTGACGTTGCAGATATTTCAGTACGCGCGACTATTATGCCCTATTAGCATGCAGTGCGTCCTACATTCTACGTACGAACAATTAACGGCTAATAAACTTTGTTATGTACTGCAATGCACTTATGCAGAACCATTCTCGTGAAAAGTCTAAGTGAAATGTTTGATATGAGAACTCGTAAAGTAGGTAGATACTTAAGTGTGAAATATCTACTGCTTACTTCATAAATTCTTGTGTGTTTCTTACATTTGTAAATGAACATTGTTTTGAGCTACTTAAGTACTTGGAAAGACTTACATTTACTCGATTGTGGGAAGGATGGGCACTTTTACAGTATGTTCGTTGCCATAAGTAATATGGCAGATATTTAAGGTGATTTAGGCATGCTAAGTAGGTCTCTATAAGAAAAACTCAACCGTTTTTTCCAAGGAGTAAGAAAGCAATATAGACCTACCTGTATTGTTGAGGTCTCGTCACAGTCTGGATGTGTACCAGTCCTGTAAGCAAGCCAGGACTGGGTACACATCCTGACTGTGTGACTAGTGCGATTATCGAAGTTGAAGAACTACTAAAAAGATTGGTTCAATGAATCCTATTTATAATTTAAAAACAATCTTTCCAACACTTACAATATTTTAGTCTAGACAGCTTTGAAACCACTTTTTGGCAATACATATCATCGGGGATATAGCTCAGTGGCAGAGCAATCGACTGCAGATCGATAGGTCCCCGGTTCAAATCCGGGTGTCCCCTTAAATAATTGAGCATCAGCTTTTTTATTATATTTTATACGTAGGTTTCCTATAACAATATTCTAAATAGCTTTAGAAGTACTTTTTCGCAACATATTTCGTCGGGGATATAGCTCAGTGGTAGAGCAATCGACTGCAGATCGATAGGTCCCCGGTTCAAGTCCGGGTGTCCCCTGTATTAAATTATATTTTTTGCAATCGATAAAACAAAAAAATACAAAGTACGTAGGCTTTTCATAAAAACTGTTAGGCTAAAGGCAGTCGTAATGTTTTAAATATACCTAATTTGCTATTAAAATATTGTAAGCTTAAATGGTACCTCATTATAAAATTTACAAATCAAGCCACATACAAGGTTGCCACTACGTCTGAACTGCGATTTTTAATTCAATTTCACAAAATAAACTAGCGGAAATAGAAATATTGCGATAAAACGACAAACATTATAACACGCTACCTAGAAATGGTAATAAATGTTCCACCTTGCAAGTTCGCTTGCATTATTGTTTTGGACGCCCAATGTATTTTTAGGGCAATTTTCTAGCTAAAACTTGCCTCATCATAATGCGATTAGAATAAAGTAGAAAGCAGACTAATGGTTTCACATGAACATTGCTAGTTGTTTTTTGTGATTACTGTTATATTCAGGTTTTTTAGTTGTTTGTAAGATCCTTACACAATGTTCATTGTCGTTATGTAAGCATTTATAAGCTAACATACATACATATGTCAATAAGTGTGTGAGAGCCAAGCTTCGGCACGAATGGGTCGGCTCGACCGGAGTGATACCACGGCCTCACAGAATACCGGCGTGAAACAACTACAGCATTGTGTTTTGCCGTGTGATTGAGGTTACCGGAGGCCCAATCCCGCCCCTTCCCGATCCTTATATCCGCAACCCCTATCCCCAAAAGGCCGGCAACGCACTCGTAACTCCTTTGGTTCTGCGGGTGTCCATGGGCGGCGCCAATTGCTTACCATCAGGTAATCCGTCTGCTCGTTTCTTATACCATAAAAAAAGCTATCGTTAGTAGGTAATCATATCTTATTTTCGAACATGCTTTCTTTTTCTTACAATGTATTTAGGAAAGGATACACTGCTATAACGTTAAGCTGGTCATTCGTCGAGATTTGTCTTTTGATTCTTGATCATTTCCAACAGACGTTGAGATACCCAATGTGATTTCTTACACATTTAGTGGAATCATTTCGGCGGTGGTATTCCTGAACAGTTACTACCTTCAAACCTTTATGAAACGACCGTACTCCTTGTTATAGAAACGCATCTGTGACTCCTCTGGTGCTGCAGGTGTCACTTACCATCAGGTGGTCCCTCTGCTTGTTTACCTCCTAATCCATAAAAAGAAATCAACAGCTTTTCTAACCCAATTGGAAAATACGAATAGAAAAAAAAACGTTTATGTAAGTAGGTAGGTTTGGTCTAGATTATTTTATTAGAATAAACTTTTAAATATGTTCCTTGTGTTACCTATATAGTAGATTCTTATATATTCCATGTGGCGTGTCTTTATTGGTGTCAAATTTCGCATTTATAAGCTGTAAATAAATGGTTATAAGTACACACATACATGAACGTTCTACAAAGGTTTCTACTGCCATCATAACAAAAGTTTTGCCGAACAAAAACTTTTTCCAAGACATTCATAAACGCAAAGTTTATGAGCTATGGAAGTCATGCGATAGTTTCATTCGGGAGAACGTCACGCAATCTCGCAGACAGCGCCAACAAACTAAAATACCTTCCATTTGTCTAGTACCTATACTTTGTACCTAAACTCAAAACTGTTTTCTTCAAATTCATATATTCAGGTAGACACATTAAAGTGACATTTAAACGAATAAGTTCACACTCGAACTTAAAAGAATAAAAATATTGTAAAGAATGATTAATGTATTTAGTGTTTTATAATAAGGGAGTTGTTTCGTATTTATAGGTATTTGCATTTTTATAGAGGGAAAAATTAAATTACTTCTCTCGCCCATGCTGAGGCGAGAGGGAGTGTCATTCTTATTGACTAAAAACTCCTCGTTCCTTCTCCTGCTCTAGGCCGAAACCGCGGAACGTCATTGAGCTTGTCCCATCCCAGCAAAAATAATATTTATTACTTATTTTAGATCTGATTGCGTGTTTGAAAAGGTCCAAGCCCTATAAGCCAATTATGTGTTGATCGTTATCTGCCTACATGTGTGTAGGTAATACCTTCAGACCTACCCATATCTTTGGCATTGATATTTTTGGTAGCTTCAGATTTCTTGTCGCCCACACGACCCCTTTACCTGGTTTATAAATGTTTACTAAGATTTGATCTTAACCCCTTGAAGCAACACTTTATAATCTCTTTATCCAATAATCCTCGAAGCCAATTTCGAATAAAGAGTGAGCAGTTAAAGCCCAAGGTAAAAACACGTCCTCGTCGCCACAACGTTAAGCCACGTACTTTTCATGTAAATTTTAAGCTGTCGGTTTTTGCGAGGATTTCTAACAAATCCGAATTGCTGAGACAATTTTAAAGCAAACTGCGGTCAGTCACGCACATTATTGTACCTAAGTACCTATTTATTTATAAAACATTGACATGATTAGCTCCAATTTATCTTTGATTCTACAAAGTTGAGGATTGTTGAAAGCCTCTTGATGCCTGTATTATTTCTGTACAAGTAAGCAATGATGAGATTTTCGTCAATATTTTTGCTTTATAATGTAATTATTAGTTTCTCATGCTATTTAGATAATACTTGTAGGTATAAAGCGGCCTGCCTCATCGTGGTATTACTATTGATTATTGATACGAAAAAATTGTGATACAGTTCTTCTAGTAACGGAGAACCGCCTATGATAACAAGCACCCTTGTCTCCAAGAAAACATTCGGAGAAAAGCCCCTGTACCTATTACACTAACGTCAAGAGCCACATTCAAATCCTCAGGGCAATAAAGTTGTAAGTTCTGGTGCCTCATGACTGAGCAAAGTACGTGATCACCTGACTAACTATCATAAGACTCATGCTCATTTGAGTAAAAATATAAAGAGGTTTTTTGTGAGAGGAAAATCAACAAATGATTTCTCAAGCCCAGGGTAGGTAAAACCCTCATTCCTTCTCCAGCCCCAGGCCGAGGACGCGGTTTCTTATGGCTCTGATCCCGCAACTCTGGCTGAACATCAACCTTTTTATGTGAGAATAAAATCATCAAGTTACTTCTACCGCCCAAGGTCAGGTGTGAGGTAGTGTGAGAGTCAAACTCTTACTGACTAAAAATCCGTTCCTTCTCCTGCTCTAGGCCGAGGCGCGGTGTCTTATTGCATTTGTCTCGCAACCCCGGCTGAACATCAGCCCTATAGGCCCCCCTCTGTGGTGGTCTATTGACTCATTGATGCCGAAGAACGGCTCAATGTTTTCTATCCTGCCTTGAAGATCGTGCCTTTACAGCAACTTGGAAGCAAATAATTATCAATTTCTTAAAGAAATACTACTTAGACACTTGTCAAAAATACACAGAGCTAACAACTGCATTTCTAACTTTCATCCTCCTTGTATTCTATTTTGGTTACATCATTATTATTTGCTTGCAGTGAATAATGACACAATTTTCCGTATCACTTTCTACAAAATAATATCTTGTTAGCCACGGGTTTATACCGCAGTCTTACGTAGGTAAGTACGCCAATGACAAACAGCGACAAAAAGTAAAACAAATAAAACTACCTAGTACCCCTGAATAAACATTTAAAAACATGAATTACAAACGTTAATATTCAACTTTACTAATAATACTTTGCGAGGAAATTCTCGGCGCTAACCATTCCATATAAAGAGATTGTTCAACAGAAAAAGTTGGCAAATTTGTCTCGCCCGGGGCACACATTATCTCTGCTCATATTACGTTATGAATGGATGTGATTTAACAGAAGCTGCTGTGACTGTTCAGGAAAGAATACCTGGCATTGTTCATTTCTATTGCATTTAAATTAAAAATAAAACTTAATGTAAAACATTTTATGAACATGTTTGGTTTTAACCTTTGAATCGTGGTACTTAGTTGGAGTTATAATAGAAGAACAATAGCGATAAATTTTGGTGCGCCTCCTTCTTGGCGAGCATAATTGCTTCACAGAAAGAGAAGACGGCGTTCCAGTTCCTCTCGCTCCGCACAATGGACTAAGGCCGGGTGCGAGAAGTTGCCATCGATCACTTCCCAGAGGATACGACGGTGCTCGGCCCAAGCAGGGCATAGCGCCACCGTATACTCCACCATGTCCTCTGGGTCACAATGAAGACACTAGGACGTTCCCTCCCGCTGGATCGGAACAGGAACCTACCGAATTACCACGGTGTCTGAGATTAAAAAAAATTAGGGAGATTTAGCAATCGGGGAGGGATGGGGGGAGGGGAAGGGACTAGCCTTCGGTAAACCGGAAACACAACGCTGTAGTTGCTTTGCTTCACGCCGGTTTTCTTGGAGCTTGGCTCCCCAACACTTACCTGTTCTTGTCTAATACCTAATTGATTAAAAATGTGCTGTTAATTCGTTATGATAGACAATCTCATGATGTTAATAGTACTACCATTACACCTATACATAAAATGATTCCCAGCTAATTATCATATTTTTTACAAAAAACGTCTGAAACCATCAATATGATTGTCAGAGTAATATAAATTGAGAGTAATAAAAAGAAGAAAAACCTTTTATGTTATTAAAATTTAATTATTTATTTTAAATATCAACAATGAACACTAGTTGCCAGAGATACATTTTTATTTGCCTCTGTGCAGCGACTTTATGGAAATTTGATAACAATTTAAATCCATAAAAAATAATTAAAATATTCCAAGACTTGTGTTTCCTATTGTGTTCAAAACAGTAAGACAATGCGATTACTTACCTTTTTTAAAATTGAAGCAATTAAATATTTTTATTCGTCCAATAAATCATATTGTTACAATTTCAAAGCAATAAAAATGTAATGTTTATGTTACAGAGAAAATTGAAATCAATGCATATCGATGCATAGTTTTATTAATCTCACTTCGTCGAATAAATTCCATTAAACTCCATCATGTTGCTGCCAGGCGAAATCAGCCCAAAGACATGGCTTTTTATAACAGTAAATATTTTATTGCATTACTTTTTATGCACCTATTTTAGTATAAGTATTTCGTTATTTCATTATTAATTTATTCTCGGTATTAAATTGCAGATATTGGTTTCAACGCTAATCGCACTCGGTGAATCATCACGTGGCAAAACGTGTAAGTAAACATATTAATATTTTCCTGTCTAACAAGGCATCTCACTTATTTCACTGTATTTGCTTACCCTTATATATGTAACGGGGGCAATGGAGATCCATCACCACATAATCTTCCATGGACGAACTAGATAATAAAATACATACATAATGATAGCACTAATTTTGTCATTTTAGATTCGGCTGAATATAATCCAAGAGCCGTACAAGATGACATCAGTAGCGACAACCATAGTTTAAAAAAGTCAAGTCCACGAGCGGACTCAAGTGGAAGCGAGGACCGAGATCATGAGCGGGATCGACCTAAAAAAGATGATTCAAGCAAAGAGCAAGCTAAAGCGGCTAAGTCTAGCAACGAGAGTGATGATGATGAGGACGAAAAAAACACTTGTAACGTATTAATTATATTATTTTGACCATAAATACCCAGTACACTACATGCAAGATAATTAAGCATGTCCAATGCATACGGTAGTTTCCAACTAGTAAAATTCAACACTTCGAATTATGACGACGATTTTTGACCAAATAGCTTACTAATTTCTTAAAAATTTACTTAAATAATTATTATCGACAGTTCGATAAATAAAAGTGTAGTTATTTTTCAATATTGTATTGTATAGAGACGTCGAAATAATTTAATTTTGACCTAGGAAACTACCCAATTCGTGGCAAATCTTAGATCATTTTACAAAATTTTCATTCTACAAAGATTTATTTTGTCATAAAATTACGCAGTCTTTATTGTGCAACTGTTCGTTGCTAAGAGTAGATTGATTTATAAGATTAAGAATACATTAAAAGTTATAAAGTAAAAAACCTATTATTAAAAAAAAAAATATTTTAATTTATAGCAGTTTCTCGAGAAGATAGACAAAGAAGTACGAAGGGTCTGAATGCAGATTTTGAACCAGAAGAAGGTTTGTTCGCTTAACAGCTTCGGTTTGTTACTAATATAATTTTAGATACAGTTCATTTACTCATCATCTTTTATATTCCTTATTTATATTGAGCTAAGTTAAGAAAGAATAAGAACCAAAACAGTCTATCAATTTTAATCAATTTATTACCAGCCGCTCTTGCCCTAATATTGTTTTTTTTTTTATGATAATCGTTTATATTGTTTATTACATCAAACCCCAAGCGAACACCGATTGTTTTTCTATGATGTCTGGAATTGCAACGATTGAAATGTTAATGTTTTTACACCTTATTTAATTTCAGAAAATCCAAAAATTCATGGCAGATATCAAAAGAATTCCGAATCAGAAGCTGATTCTGATGGTCAGTAAAATATCTTATTTGTATGTTGTCTCAGAATTGCACACGTACTTTGATTATTGTATTACACTACAGTCTAAGTATGATTGATCTAACTGCTTTATATTTTTACTTTCTTTGTTTCTAAACGCATTTTTACTGAAGCGATGAAGTTTCTTTTTCCGTTCTTCTCTTTTATAAATCTTAGATTCTAAACTCAGTCAAGCTATCGGGGCTACAGAAAAGATATAATTTATTTTTTTGCTTTTGATTTCCCCTTGATCTTCGTCCCTATATCAGTACTACTTACATATGTCTCCAACAGTGTAGTCAGTAAAGTAACTTATTACCCTATTCTTTGTACACCTAATGGCACATTTCTGTAAGTTCCATATATTTAGTAAAGAGAAAGATGATGTAGATCTAGGCCTATCTAAATCATCTTTCTCTTTGCTAAAATCTTATTTGACAAATATTCTATAAGAGAAGGTAATGGTAGTTTTTTTTAACTATATATACGAATGTTTTCAACGACTGTTCTTCCATATCTTCTAAGCAAATGTTTATTTTCAGATGATCGTCGTCGCTACAGAAGACACATCGATAGGCTTGTCAATAGTGAGGGGTAAACAAGTGCTTTGAATAAAAAAAACGTTTTCAATAAAGTACCTACCAGTTCACTCATTAATTATTTTATTCACATAAAATTTCCTTTTATTTTAATTTATATGGAATAGTAGGTACGATAAATGAGCAAGCGTACCAATTACCTTTTCTTGTCCGGGGAAAATCAGGATAGGGCGAGGCTGTGTCAGACTCTTATTGACAAAAAACTCCCTCGTTCCTTTTCCTGGTTTAGGCTGAGGCCGCGGAGCCCTATTGCACTTGCCCCGCAACCCTGGCCTTGCCTCGCAACACCACCCGTGGAAAGTTGCAACATCAGAGGATTTACAAGTGCGCTACCAGCCCTTTCTTGTTCGGAGTTATGAGTTCGGATTTTAAGATTTGGTGTACCTGTTAAGGAAAAGTTTGAGCCACCGATAACTTCACTCACATTACAATTTGGTGCACGCCAGTTTTCTGTGAGGCCGTGTAATCACTGCGGTCGAGCCAGCCAATTTGTGCTGAAACATGGTTCTCATACAGCTAGTAAAAAAGGGAACTGTCCAATTGGCAAGTAGGTACCTACTGTTTATTTTTAACTAAATGTTTTCGTTTATACCAACACACGTTGGTTCAAGTGTTTTTATAGTTGATTCAATAGAAAACAAATGTCCAATATCATAAGAAAAATAACGTACTTATTAAACAACACACTGCCCTCTAAAAATGATTCATTTATAGAAAATAAAGAATAAAGAATTTGAGTATTGAGTATTGGAGCGCACGACCAATGGTATGGCTCGATAGTGACGCCAGGTTACCGCACCAAATCAACTTATTAAGCTGCAATGTAAAACAATAATTTTGATTAAATTTAAATTAAGGATCAAAGTTTGCTACCTGAAATGATACAGTTAATATTAATCTTTTTAAATATCTAAGATACTTACTAAATAAAACTGTTAAGTGTGGGATAATTGAAAAACCATCATAGATTTAAAATAAAGTTAATTGAGAATCGAAATCTCATAGATCACTGAATGAATTCCACTTTAACTACATTAAGTTATCTGAAATTAATGAATAATTCAATAGTAGGAGTCGTACTTCTTCCAATTTCAACTTGACTCGGTTTATTTGATTAGGCTCTAGAATCACATAGCGAGATTTTTCCTATATTGATTTTAGAAGGTGTTGTCGATAGGACCCCCCTATAAATAATGTATGGATTGAAACTCGCGACCTTTTATTGCTCTGATCCGACGTCAATATCCCACTTTATATTTTAAGGTAACACATAAGACATTGCCAATTATGTTTATCTCTGATAAATATTCAGGAAGGAAGTAAACAGCCTACTTTGTAGTGTCTGTCATAATAGTATCATATATAAAAATGAATTTTCATTTGTTATTCTCGCTAAAACTCGAAAAAGGCCAGATCGACATGGCTGAGTGTGGTCTTAATATATTTAAAGTTTAATAAGTCAGAAAATATGACTAAATAAAAAATATTAGTTATATTTGTGACTGTACGAAGTTTGCCAGGTCTGCTAGTTTTCAATATACATATATTTCCTATACGTATTTGACAAGTTTATTTGTAATTTTATATAAAAAAATATAAGTACCTACTTAGTAACATTTATATGTCTTTGTGGACTTTTTTGCCTCTTTAACTATCTAGGTAGGTACGAATGTATCACTTAAACAAATTGGCTCGGCGGTGTTGCTATAATCGTAGTCTGAAAACGACAGAATGTTGCATGCAATCTGGCGTCTGTCAGGGGTCGGTTGAGGGTTGGTCGAGTTCACCGCAAGATATTGCAAGAGCCTGCAAAATTACACTATTAAGCCGAATATATTGCGCTCCACAACGGCTGGGTGGCGATACTGTAACTTTATAATCGATTTATTTTGCTAATAAATATCTACTTGTGTATGTGTCTACGCTGTAGCCTCTAACTGTTCTTCTTAGATGTTAGACATTTCAGAAATTATTGTTTGAATCTGATCTCGATTTCGACAACAAGCAATATTCTACAATTATTATAGATTCTAAAGTGTACTAAATTAATTTTGTTCATAAATATAACCTTGCTACTCAAAAAGTTTTATTTACTTACAGTATACATTTTAAGTGTGGGAAAGCCATGCTTTGGCACGAACGGGTCGACTCGACTGGATTAATATACTTACGGCCTCACAGTAAACCAGCGTGAGACTACCACAGCGTTATGTTTCGCGTATGAGTTGTTAGCGGAGGCCCAAAATGTCTGCCCCTACCCTAATCTCCCCGAATCTTCAAAACCCTTATCCCCAACGCACTTGTAACTCCACTGGTGTGAGCATCCTTTTGTAGCGCCTTATTGCTTTTAATCAGGTAATCTATCTGTTGTCCTATAACAATAAGAAACAACAATTTACTTATCCATCCATCCATAAGTATTATATGTATAATATACAGATAGAATACCCAAAACAAATATCACTCACGGCGATGTTTAAATAGGTAAATACTTCGTCAACAGTTTCACGTCATAGAGGAAGATGTACAAAGGTACTAACTGAAACTTGTGATGGCCTTTATAGCACATATATCCAGCGTGAAAATGCGATAACATCGTTCCAGCGACCGTCCTAAATGCATTAGTCTTTCTGTAAGACATCTCTAACGGTACACTTGGCTAAACTAAACCACTCAATTGTTCTTAGGACGTGCGCTTGTAGAAGTTTGCGGTTCACATGTCCAAACATGTCTAATTATTATAGTACCTACCTACATAATAATCCCATATGCGGGGGCTTGTCCCATATGCGGGGGCTTGTTATTAGCAACTTGTTAAAACTACAGTTTGTTATTACCTATGAGATATTATTAGTCTGTAAGCCTTCCTTGAAATAAATAAAAAAAAAAGTTTCATTGTGTATTTAATGTTGTATTTTTATCGTTGAATCGTATCAAAATTAATTGATTGCACGGCTCGCGCGGTGGCTTAGCTATTGGCTGCCACGCAGCTTGTCGCGGGTGACTCCCGCACGGAACAACATTTATATTTTTTACACATCAACGTTGAGTTTGTAACATGCAGCTCCAGTAGACTTTGTAGAAGCTTGGTAACAAACCTGGTCCTAGTGTAAAATCATATCAAAATTAAGGACAATTTATTTTAAGGATTAACAGTATGTAGACAGCAGCTTTCATAGATATATCCAAACTAATATTATAAATGCGAAAGTAACTCCGTCTGTCTGTCTTTTCTTCACGCCTAAACTACTGAACCGATTTCTGTGAAATTTTGTTCAGACATAGTTTGGAACTCTTGAAAGGATATAGGATAGTTTTTATACCAAAAATCTGCAGGAAGTCACTATTCCACGCGAACCGAGTCACGGGCAAAAGTTAGTAGGTACATAAATAGAACTGAATTTTCAGTTCGTAAATGTGATGTACCCCTAACCTGTCGACGTAGTCCTCATGTCTTACGACCTTCTCAGCGTGTAAAACGGTTGCAGCACATTAGGGAGTTGAAATTCTAACTTTGGTAAAATTGCAATCTCCTTCAGCAAAAGTTGTTCTATCAAAGTTAGTCAGCGGAAAAAACTGATAAGAAGAATATTACTAAGGTAGGTAGGTACCGTAGGTACTGTATACCTACTTACCTAGACTGAGACTATTCATTGGTTTGTTTCGCAAAGTTTACATAATAAGTCTGTGATCCCTAAGCAAGTTTAAGTATCTATCTATATCTTGCGTGGAAAAGTAGTCCTTGTTCCACACAATAAATCAATAGAATAGTAGTTAAGCGTATATTTATGTGGTATAAGACTACCTATTTTTGGACAACACAAAAATAAAAAAAAATAGGCACATTCCAAAAATAAAATAATAATCTAACATCGATTGAACTTATTAAAATAGAATTCTATTTTCAAATTTCAATTTCATCTAAGTACTTAACTATCAATCAATGGATTGGGTAACAATAATACCTATACACATAGGATTAAAGCCATAAAACAAAATGTATTAATTATTTACCCAGCCAATATTTAGTTACAAAAATAAAATCTAATTTTGGAATTAGGTAAAAGCATCGACGTGCGTAGGTACTAGGTATAATCGCTCCGTTAATTACTTAGTTCGACAGTACTACTTTGCTTACCAATCTACGGTTGACTAGAGCGGTTCCAATACCTATTTCCAATCGGATTAAACTTTTTCTTTTATCCCGTTAATCAACACAACTCCGTGGGCACTTCTTAATCCCAATGGTCTTAACGGTAAACAGATAATCATATCTCAAAGTACGAATTAATTTAGACGCCTGAGCGCATACCTTGAGCTCTCAGCTCTGACTCTCAAAACTTATAATTGAATTTCCAATCCTTAATTGAATAGTAACAGTCGAAGTCCAGATGAATGAGGTCCTTGACGAAGGATGATAACGATTACAAGGTAGGTGAGTAGTCTGTCTATATCTGTGTATTGTTTTAGTTAAATGAGTACCTAGGTAGTTATAGTTTTAGTTATGTAAGTAGTATCTTTAAAAATAATACATTTTTGTCAAGCCTACTGATCCATTTTCGAATAAGGTTTTTTTTAAGGTTTGGGTACTGATTTTTTTATTTTACCTACCTACCTTATCTTGAAAAGTTCCTCTACCTCTAATACGGTTAGGTAGGTACGTACCTTTTTTGTGGAGGGAAATGAATCACAACAATCATCACCCAATGAATTCTCTCGCCCAAGGTATGGCGAGAGGGAGTGTCAGACTCTTACTGTCTGTACCTTCTCCTTGTCCAGGCCGAAGCCGTGTGGTACCTTACTGCGCTTGCCCTCAGCTAAGTATTGGCCTTGATGGGTCCCATCTGTGGTGGTCTATGGGCTAATAGTTATTTTGTTTTTTGTATTTTTGTACTGATGTTCCTTTCAACTTACTAACCGATTTTAATATACATAGCTACAATCCTTCGCAAACGAGTCTGACTCGTACTTGTCCGATTTCGTGTAACACGTTTAGATAAGTTAGATCGAGCACTTGAGCAATCCGTGTCGTAGTTTATTTTCTTTATCTATAAATAAATGCTCGACGCGAACCTGTTCTAGGAACCTGTTCTTAGGTTGTAGGTTTTTCTCCCATTTAATACTGAATTGAATGCCTAGTAACAATACGAATTATGGTAGGTAGGTACTGAAATGTCGCGGTGGTCCGGGCTCGAAACCTTGCAAGTACCACTGTCACTTTTTCCGAGTTATAAGAACTTTCTATGGTTATTTAGACACTACTGACAAACTGTGAAGGAAAACAACGCGAGGAAACCAGGTCTTATAATGTCTAATAAGTAATAAGTTTGACTTAGCCTATCCGCCTTGAGCAAGTGTGGTGAATAATGCTCAAACCTTCTCCGCATGAAAAGAGGCCTTTGCTCTGCAGTGGGCAGTTATAGGCTGATGATGTGTGATGTGAGACTACCTTTATCTAAATTTTAACTTGGCTTATCCACCCGAATCACCTAGGTACCTACCTACTAAGTAATTCAACATATCGGTACTCGTTTTGTGAAGGTCCAGTAAATAGCAGACATTTATGTATCTACGACTTTCATATATGTAGATACATGTAGATACTGCGAGGATACAGGATAACAACTTTAGCTATATAGGTACTCGTATTACACTTGACTGACGTGCCCATACAATGTTATTAGTCATGTAGGTAAGGTAAGCTACTAGCAAAGCCACTCATAACAATAATCGATGCACTATCCGGGACATTGAATTCTGTTTTATAGCCCTGTATTCTATGAATATGCATAACAATAAAACTATTCTGACGCACATCGGCATATCATTTTTAAATCAGATGTAGGTACATACCTTCATGCCTACATAATATTGGGATGCTATATTTTCGATACAATACCTATATAATATATTTAGATGATTGCTTTTTGTTTATTTCATAAATGTTTGCAAATTCCGATGTAAAGCAGTACCATTTTTAAAGGTCGGCAAATAAGCAGACTGTTCATCTGATGATAAGCCATCGCCGCCCCATTGCCTAGTACTTGTAGTACAAACATACGATAGGCACGATTGTGTGAATACAATTATTACGAACACTTTTCAGGTGCTCAGTTTGCCTTTTTTTTCTCAGGGGAAAATCATCAAATCATTTCTCCCGGCCAGGGTAAGGCGAGAGAGTCAGACTCTTACTGACTAAAAACCCCCGTTGTTTCTGCTGCTTTAGGCCGTGGCTGCGGTGCCTCATTGCGCTTGCCCCCCAACCCCAGGTGCTCAGTTTGCTTTTGGAAAATAGTTTATTAACATTACATAATATTTTTACCTACAATTACTCGTTATTATTTAGGGTTTTTTTGTGAAACTATTAAGTTATAATTTAATTAATAGATTAAATATTCCAATTCTGTTTTATGATTTATACACAAAGTAAAGACATTTTTTAATTTATAGTCTCTTACGTGGTTAGCTTTAGTCGATGTTGATAGTAACATCACTATCAACACAACTATTGTCTTTTGCCATAATTGTAGCTAACTTCAGTTCAGTTTGGTTTCTGATTTCTGTCTTTAATGTCATGTCAAGTTGTCAATGTCAAGTCTGTGAATTAACGTATTGTCATTGAAATTGCTCGGAAATTCATAAAAATCTCTGGATATTTCTGCTTTTATCGTCGTAATTAGAGCATAAATAGGTTCATTAAATGCGTAGAACTAGTTTTCCAATTCAAACAAAACGGAGTGTCTTTGTTACAGCTGAAACATCGTCGGTGAACATTATGACATCTGTTTGTTTTGATCCTGAGTTGATTTATTAATTAATTTGTATCAGTTAATTAACAGCACTGTGAAAATGGAAGCTGGGGAATGGAGAAGGAATATTATCAGCCAATTACAGGCTCGAAATAAATATGAAACAGCTGCATTTCAAGACATAATATCCTTTCGTAAGTAACTTAACCTATGGACGTCTTTGTGTTGACACTGTAATATTATATATCAAATAGACAAGATTTATCACTAGACTAATAATCCATTGTTCGTAACAGATAGTTTGTGTTCATTTCATTTGTTATCATGGCCATTAATTTGTTTTGAAGTCACTTTGTTTATAACCTCTGCCATTGCTCATATATAAAGATAGAAATAAAGTTTAATTGATATATTAAATAAGTTAGCATGAAGAACAAAAAAGTACTGTTCCAAAACCTAGTCTATTTATAGAAATATTTGCTCACACAGTGATGGTACCAGTGTTGGCTTATCATCACATATCAGTGATAAAACATTGTGATTAAGGATAACAATAGCCTCTGAATATTCATGTCTAAGCAAACTCTAACACAGTTTATGTAAATATGTAATTCAGTTGTATAATGACTCAAGTTGAACGACTGACCTACCTACATTCTAATCAACAAGTTTTATGTTCTATGAAAGTCATCAAAATCATTTTCTTGTATGTGATTGAACTTCGATTGTGGTTTTGATAAGCATGCATTACTTTACCTACATTACTTTAGAAGATACAATAATTTGTACTTAATAACAAATTTATAAAATATGTATGTGTAAAACTTGAAAAGAAACTGGCCACACCAGAGACTACAGCATGATTCCAAAGTGGGTTAATTGTTAAAAGTTGTGTCTTCACAGCAATAGTTTAAAAACTGAAGTTACTTTGAAACTAAACTTAACAAAACATATATTTTGTCTTTCTAGTAAAAGGAAAAATCCATATAGGTAATTTTATTCTCTACAATATTTCACCCTAAGAATTGCAAATCATGTTACATTAAACTACCTACTAGTACACTATAAAAAAATTATATATTTTTCTAAATTGGGCTGTAAAAAGCATGCCATAAACTTTTGGAAGACTTGGATCAATATTTGATATATGTTATTAATCATTTTCAGAGAGCCGTCTTTTTGACAATGTAAACACATTGAAGAATGAGAATCTCCAGTTAACATTGCTCAATGAGAGAATACGGTTTACGGGAGCAGAAAGTGTTAGTGGAACTGGTAAGCTAAATAATTACTGTATTAAATAGTTTTTTTTTAATATATCTTGTGTAGCAAATTTATATTTTTTTTTATAAAATTCATTGCTACTTTATCAGTTGATGTTCTAAATTTATTATAGTAAACATTGACAAACAAGATGATCTTGGCAATGGAAAACAAATGTTTATTAGTTATGTGTACCAATTTCAATACTTAAAACTTTAATCAACACAAGGACCAACCAATTTTTCACAATATTTTTTTTATGTTTATTATTTAATTATCAAACACCAAATGAATGCTGGTGTTCATCCTACTGTCTTACTATTGAGTCTCTTATTACCATGATTAAAAGGTCCATTACTTTAATTAGCATAGTGAAACCAAACAAGTTTAATGATTTCTTAGTTAATAGTAATTACTCACTATTATTCATACATATCATATGTCATTAAGCACTCATTATTGAAAACCAATAAAAGAAATATTAACTTGGTTACATTTAGGATGTTGCTAATGAATAATTTAATAAAATTACAGGAAATGCCAGCAATGAAAGGATACAAGCTCTGGAGCAAAAAATCTTAGTACAACAAGAAGAACTTACTTCAATGCATAGGAGAAGAGGAGAGAATGCGCAGCAGATTATGAGTCTAAATGAAAAAGTACATGATCTAGAGAAACAACTTCAAGCTAAAGATATTGTGTAAGTACTGGGCCTTAAGTACCTTAAAAACCTTATAGAATTAGTAAAAAGAACATTAACAAAATAATATTAGGCCTGCTGTACTCTGAAGAGGTAGGCCGAGAAATGCTATTAGCTGATAATTTTGGCTTATTACGTTTTTTGTCATGTGATGTGTACATAGTACTGTCTCCGTAGACAAAGCCATTTTATTCCAAAGTGAAGCTTAATAAATGAATCTCATTATAATAGAAGGCAAAATTACTTTCGGATGTTAACTAATATAATACCTCTAGAAGTTGTTTGAATTGCTAAACACAGATGATAATCTTATTAGATAGATACATGAAATTCATCATCATCAGCCTATAAGTGCCCACTGTTAAGCAAAGGCATCTTCTCACACGGAGAAGGTTAGAGCATTAATCACCCCGCTTGCTCAATGCGGGTTGGCAATTTCAAACTTATAATAAGAAATTATAAGTCCAGATTTCCTCACAATGTTGACCTTCACCGTATGTCAGTGGTGTCTGAATAATCGTAGAAAGTAATATAACTCGGAAAAAGTCACATTGGTACTTGCCAGGTTTCGCACCCACACCCTCATGCATGAGAAGCGGGCTCCTTAAACTCCGGGCCACCACCATCACATGAGATTGTCCATAAGTAAAAGTCACGTACCTTAATTTAAATATTGCAAAATAATCAAATAATAAACTTTAAGGAAACATATAAAGCCAGAATTAATGCCACTGGACTTAATGTATGCTTAACGGGATCATTAAAGTTTGCCTAATTACTTCATGTATTTATTCAACGAGTGATGTGTATTTGCAGTATGATGTCTACATAATAATAATGGCAAACAACAGACCGCTATATGAGACTGAGTGTAAAAACTAAACTTTTTTTTGTTTAGATTTAGTTTGCATAAATATATATATACATTGCGGTTTTAATGTGCAATTTAAAACTAATATTTGAATTGAAATGACAAATAATTAAGAATAATGGATTCATCGACGGATCGATTCCTATAGAAACAATAACCTAATAATACATGTTTAGTCTTTTTCGTCCCATGCTAGGATGATTTTCAATGTTGTCGATTTAATTCCTTAAAGGGGTATCATATGTGTATGCATTTATTCAATGTAACATCAACATTTTACCAATTCAGTGAGTCTCAATGGAGGAAGCCTACTATCATGATAGTATCTGGCTCATTTTTTGACTCTGTACTACTACGCGAATTATTAAGATTTTTTTTTATCATAATTTGAACCTGCTTACGAATGTATTACTTAATGGTGAACTTGCAACACCAGAGGAGTCAAATGAGAATCAAGTGTCTCTTAATATAGTACTTTACACAACATTATTGGTTGTGCATCCAACTATTTTTTTTTAAAACGTTGCCCCACATTAGGATTTTCTCCTGTGTCTTGGGTGCGTTTACAAACATACAATTTCGCATGCACATCACACCCAGACCCAGAACAACAATCTGTGGATCACACAAAGAGTTGTTCCGTGCGGGAATCGAACCCGCGACACGTTGCGCGGCAGCCAGTTGCCCAGCCACCACGCCAACCGTGCAGTCATTAAATAAAGATATAACTGCAAAATATAAACAAACTGTACCTGCATATTATAGTGGACTGTACACAACTTCTTTCTTTACATGAAAACTTTGTCACCTGCATCAGTGTTAATTATTATGTGCATAATTTTATACTTGCTAACACATGGTTTATGAGTATTCAAATTTAAAATTATGTTATTTGTTTAGAATTTCAGAAAACACAGCAGTGATAGCATCTTTGCGGGCTGAAATTCAAATGTATGAAACAAATATGGCTGAATTACAAGGATTAAATCAAGTATTGAGAGATGAACATCAAGCCTTACAAATAGCATTTGCAGCAATAGAAGAGAAATTGAGGAAAGCACAGGTATATTACATAAAGGCTTCACGCCTTTTGGTCTCAGAAAGGGTAGGTAGAAATGCACATATCTTCTTCTTATATACAAAAATCAATTGCTGTTCGTTAGTCTCGTTAAACTCGAGAACGGCTGGTCGGTTTTGGATAATTTTACGTTGAGTTCCAGGGAAGGTTCAGAAAATTAGTTACTTATATTTGTAGCGGTTCGGAGCTTGCCAGGTTAGCTAGTTCATTATAAATATCTAATAAAGTGTTTAGTTTTCATCAGTTTCGTAATAGGAGGTTGGAGCTTTGCATACACAAAGAGCCAACCAGCGCTGTTGTATCGTGCCTGCATGCGCGAGACACAGCATTTATACTGAGCGCTGCCCTTTTTCACGCACGAGTGACGCAATTGTAGTGCTATTCTTTTTTGTTTTTTATGTTCATTGTTTGTTTTGTCCCTATTTAGCTATATTCGTGTGTGTTTGTTTCTTGCGTCATTTGTGTGTGAAATAAATGGTTTTTCTTTCTTTTCTTTCTTTCTTTCATACCGCTATAAATATCTCCGTAGGTACATTGCATTCTAAAACTAAAATATAGTATCAGAGAAATCCTTCGTACTTGCTGGCCTATCAGGAACAGGGAAAGATATGCAATGCAAACCACTGAAACGAGTAAATTGGTTAGTTTCCTAGGTCAAAAATAAATTAATTCGACGTTTCAATACAATTAAATATTCAAAAATAACTAATAACTAGGTATACTTTTTAATCGATCTGTCGATGCACTAAGTAAGCTATTTGATGCAAAAAATACTATGACTTCATAATTTATAGTTTTATACAAATTTCATAGAAAAGTATTGTTTTGACATTTTGATAAAGGTATTGAATTTGACTAGTTGGAAACTACCGTATTGAAACCCTGGGAATAAGTATAATATTCGGTTTACAAGTCATTAAAATAAACATTTAAAACGAAAATTGAGTCTATATTTGTTCAAAACAAATAAAGTTTTTCAAACATTAAAAGACGATAACTTTACTTCCATTTCACTTCATTTCTAAAACTATATTTTTGTCAAGAGCATTGACACATTTGATCAAAAGCGACCACATAGGAGTGGACATAAGTCTATTGTTTGCTCAATGGTATTTTGATACACTTGTGCCGATGTTTTGATACTTTTTTCGCAAAAGTATGGCTCAGTCACTCCTTCATAGCTATCACCCCACCAAACCATCACTGAAGTCGGATAATGCCCACGTTGCACTCTGTCGACTAATTGAGAAGCTTCCTTAGAGCTTTGAGCATAAATACGGTCATTTTGTTTGTTAAAATGTTGCTCAATTGTAAAAATTTTGTCATCCGTAAACAAAATTTTTCTGTGACCTCCCTTTGCGTACCGCTTCAGTAGTTGTTTAGATTTTATCACCCTATTCTTTTTTAAATTATCATTTAAAAAATGTCCAGTGCGTCTCTTATAGGCTGCAAGTCCTAAGTCGTCTTTTAAAATACGCGACATGGTTCTAGGTGCTATCTTCATCTCCCGAGATAAAATCTTTTGCTTTCGGACAGGAATTCTTCGAATTCTTGCCCTTACTGCTTTGACCACCTTTTTCGTACGAACACTACGTGGACGGCCAGATCTTTTTCTGTCACAAACAGAGGAGGTCTCATTGTACCTATTAAGAGCCCGGTACACAAACATTTGACTAATGCCAAGCGTGTGGAGAGTTTTAAAAATTGCATTTGGCTCCATACCCACTTTGTGTAATGCAATCACAGCGATTCGGTTCCCTTTATCACCCCACTCCATTTTAATATCGCAAAATATTGAACAATTTATTGGCGCCAAAATAAGAAAAAACAATTAAAAATTATATAAAAATGACAGATTCCAAATTCAAATGTAATATTTTGTTTATTTTTAATTGTAACAGTATTTATGGCCAGACTATGTACAGATACTTCATTTATTTTGACCTTTTTATTAATCACACATTTATAGCATTATGAGTATTTTCAAAATTAAAAGTGAGCAAAATATGGACTTTGTAATGGTTTCTAATAAGACGAAGACTTACTGACCAATTTATAAATAACTTATTAGAAATAAATGGATATTAAATATTAACTTATTATAATAGTAACATACATATAAAGGATTGTTGGAGACTATAATTTTTAATTTTATTACAGTAAGCTGTGTGGTTAGATTAAATAATTTTAGTTTGATTTTAAAAGACAAATCATTTTGAACATATCTAAAATAGGATTCTAAAAACACTGATAGTGATTAAAAATAACAGTTAGTTTTGTAATTTAATCTGGCAATAAATTATTTGTTATGAATAATTAACGTAAACAAGATTGTCTTTACACACAGTCACAGACAATAATAAACACAAACTACTTATTAGAAAAAATCTTACTCGCTATAAATTATGAACATCAGGCGTTGTTATTCATTCAGAATCTCCACATCCCACATTATTTTCTCGTTCACCGTACCGCACATTTCTAAGCTTTCCACACTGAACACTTATTTGAAAATAGCATTTAAACACGACTTTGAGTAATGAATCAACGATTTTATTTCAGTAATTAAACATTAACTCATATTAGCCTCGTCTGTAACTTGTTGAAGGCAGTTAAAATGATACGTTCCACTACGTTTGAAGCTATCTTGCTTTTGTTTATACTGAGTAAAAATATTTTTGGCATAGTACTGGTGGTCGTTATTGAACAATTTTTTCCGCTGGAACTTTAGATTTTTATAGCATCATTTAAAATTTGGCAAGGCTCCAAGCTGATTCTAGCTTGTCTTTATATTAATATGCAGCGTGTTTCATATTTCTCGGTCCTTTTTTTTGACAGATTTTTTCCCACGTTTATTTCATTCATTCTCACCTATATTTAGATTCTCTTTCTACAGCGTGTAATTAGTATCGATGACGGAATTTGCTGATGCTCATGTGATTTTCTAAGATTCTATTTAGCAGAACCATCTCTCATTTTCCAAAAAAATCGTAAAATGATTTTATGAAAATCTTATAAGCACTTCTAGAACCGAAATACCTTTATGCCAATCTCTCTAGATAGGCTAGATATTGCTTTAGATAAAGAAATCTAGTTATTACTTTAACTACAACCGGTAATTACTATTCACTAGAGATAGCGGTCTTTCATATCCGTCAAAGCGTATTGACCACACAATATATCAAATCAACTCGGCCGAGTAGGTGATCCAATCCCGATTTGGTACTAGGCTTAACGTAAATAGCGCGATGACCTCGTAAAGCTCCCATGCGAAGCAATGAAACAAACAACATATCACTTAATGTAATGAATTACTAGGATATCACAAAATGTAGCCCGCTGTATATTTTACGGCGATCACGTGATAACAGCTGTGTATGAAATGCTTATAGCTGTGTCTCAAGTAACATCACTTACATTCAGTCAGATAGAAAATTTCGTGGCAGTGTGTCAGGAGTTGATTTCAGAGATAATTTCCATGTTTTCTTTTGAACAAGTCGTTAATAAATTAGCTATTTAACAAGACTACTTGCGTGAACTGTTTGATTTGAAATTGATAAACATGCGTAGAGTTTTCAAGAGGGTACTTAATTATTTTGTGTTGTTTTTTTGATACGTGTTTTTAGTGGCAATAGTTTTTATAGTGCATTTCTTGTGTTGTAGGATGAAAATCGTTCGTTAGTGGAGAGACTCATTAAATACAAAGCTAAAGATGCAGATAAAATGAACGAAGAAAATGAACATTTCCTCAAGTAAGTATGAAATGTATATTTTTGAAAAAAAACTTAGTAACTAATTTATTACAGCATGTTTTATATTCCAGTTTTCCCTAAGTATATTTGTTTATCTAGTAATTAATTAAAGGCACCTAGACCACATTTGTTTTTTAAAAACAACCTTTTGTAATTTGAAAATTGGTATTTATATTTAATTTATTGAATTGTGCAGTTTAGTCAAAATTATACTTATATTATTGGGGCATTCGGTCAATGGCATACTTAGTGTATTTGTTTTTGCCTGTGAGTATATAGTTGCAATGAGACTTGCAAGTGAATGTCGCTGCTACCATAGAGTTGATGTGCACTGCACCGTAGAATATTTGTCATGCGTAAAGCGAGCATATCAACTAGATTTCAGATAATAGTTAATTTTCATGTAAGTATCTGTTCTTCAATTTACGCCTGACAAATATTAGTAGTAAATGCACATTTCCTAAATAATGTAATTGAATAATATTGTGTTTTAAATGTGTATTTTACTTTGACAAGTGTCGTTACTAGAGTGGGGTTTGTGTGTGCCGCGAGGCTTAGAGGCTTGCATAAGTACCCATAATTTTTGTTTTTGCTTCTTTTTGTCTAATTTCTTCAACAGGTCAAGCAACCCTACCGCGTTTTTCATCAACACGTTTGGTAGAGTTAGTTTCGGGTGAGTTTGACATAATGTGAATGATGATGTGGTGGTTTGAAGGCATTGTGGCGTTCATTATTGAACATTATATCTCTTCATGAAAATGGCCCATATATTTATGTCTTAACTGCACTCTGAAACTGACTCATGATTTCTTTTCCTTTCTTGTTTGTAAATTGTATGGAGTTTCTGTCATATCTACTTGTACTTCTAACGGAGTTTTTGTTATGCATCAGGACATTGGCAATCGTTTGAAGTTAAGTATGATCGTACAATCATAATGAGGTGTGCGTCGTCACGTATCGAAGTAACAATGTGTCGTGTGCGTTACATTATTTGCGTCATTTGTTTACCTACTTACAAAATTCCATTTGATTACGTGTGCATGTACTTTGCGACGTTAAATCCTAGAGTATTTTCATTGCACATCCAGTAACGTACGTTCTATTAATACGACTAGCGAGGTTACTTCCAGTATAGTCATTAACGTTCGATACGTTACATTATATTCTGGCATTGTCATTGCCACACGTAAACACCTAAATTCTAAAATAGATGCACGGATTATGCAGTTTGCTAAACATTTTGTTATGCACTCTGCGTTCAATCGTTAAATTGATGCAGATACATTTTCGTGATCGCGTAAAATTGCAGTGTCTGAGTATCTGCATAATATATATTAATAGCTATATACTACATACTAGCGATTGTTTACGCTCGTGTGTATATTTACAATTTGATTCGCCTTTGAAGTTTCATATTTATTTGTCTTTCGTGCAGCTCACTTTATTAATGTGATTTTAATTTATCGTTTCACATGTCACCCGATCTATTCTTATCCATTTAATATTTTATTTTGGTTCACATTATTAACATCTTTGAATACAGTGTGATGTTACAGTTTATTAAAGCGATTGGATTGGTAACGTGTTTGCATGAGTTTTTTTTTTATTGGTATGCGCACTATTGCTCTGTGAACATTACTTAGAAGTAGATAGTGCCATGTTAGTTGTTAATGTTAAACAAAATAAAATTAAGATGACTGACGAAAAAATGTCTCCTATAAATGATTTACACAAAGGTTCGTAAATGCAGAATTTATTAATCCGTTAAATATTTAAGTACTTATCCTATTTTTTTTTTTTTTTTGATACTTTGCATGGAAATTTATCTGGGTTCTGGATATACGTACCTTGATTTAATTTGTCCGTAAAGACGGGAAATTGTGAGGTCTAGTAGCAGATGCTTTAGACGCATAAGGCAAAAGACTAATTAATAATCACCACGATTGCTGTGTTTTATGCATGTTGATATTAATATCTATGGTTGGGTATAAGAAATAGGTCGTATTCATAAAATATGGTATTTTGTATCGAATAGTCCGCCTGCATAAATGGCTTCGCGGAAAAGCGGTCAGAATGGCAATAAAAGTCACAACAAAGAGACTTAGAAGTCCGTCTTATGTTAGTTTGAAATGTTTTCTTTCAGAAAGAAAAGTGATAAGGTGCGGAAAGAGTTGGAGGAGGCAGCTAGAGAGAGTGGTAGCAGGAGTAGTGGGTCAGGCAGTTCCGAAGACAAGATATTGGACTCAATGCCGTACTTTGCAACTGTTTTGCCTAACAAAGTTGCCCTGAGATTTGTAAGTAGTGAAACGAGGTTCAAAAGGCATGCATGCGGTTTTATAAATGCTTTATGTTGTGTTTGGGCGACTACGGAATTTGGCTCGCATTTGTAATGAATATTTTACTGATTGGTGTTATGTTATCATACCAGGATGCTCATGACGGTGAAGTGAACGCAGTGAAATGGAGTCCAACAGACAGAATTGTTGCGACAGGCGGTGCTGATAGAAAAGTCAAATTATGGGATGTTACTAAATGTAAGTCTTCGAATTTTCATTGTGTACCCTGTGTTAGAAATATATTTTCTTGCTCTTCTGCACTCAGATGCTGCTTATAGCTCTTCCTTACTCTTCTGCTAATATCTTTTTACCTCTAAAAATCTCTTAGCTGCAGCTCGTTTTAAACTTAGTGCATCAACACATTAAATTAACTAAACCATAGTTTATAGTTATAATATGCAGTAAGGAAAGCCACATGTAACAGCTGCTCGTAAAATTCGCAAACTTTCGCTATCGTATCTCTCAAATGATAATCTAATGCTAAAAAATTTAAAACAAAAAAGATTGTTATACTCATGATTTAATTACCGACAATGATTAAGGATGTTCATCAATATTTACACAAAATTTTCAGGTATGGTGGAAACACGGGGTACATTGGTAGGATCTAATGCGGGAGTCATGTCAGTTGACTTCGATTCAACTGGAGCGTACATCGTAGGAGCGTCGAATGATTTCGCCAGTCGCGTATGGACAGTCGCCGACCAGCGTTTAAGGGTGAGTCGACTTCTAAATTGATTAACAAGTTGACTTTTTTTGAAAATGAATTTTATCATGTTTGGAAATAAGACTTAAAACTGCATATCGATGATAATGTGCCAACGATATACCTAAATCTAGTCTCAAACTGTGATTTAAATTTCATTAAAAATTAAAGACTAAATTTACTATGTCATCCTTGTTTTAAATTGTAAATAGCCGTTACCTCAACTGTCAAACGTGAAACTGCTTTGATCAAACGCTTTAAAATATTTAGACTTCTTGAACATAAAACAAACATTGTTTCATCGTTTACACCTAAGTCTAGTCAGACTTGTAGCACTAATGTACATCTAGGATTAATATTTTCACCTCCCTGCTCTATTTTATAGAGTATAATTTATTGCTCCTAGTGATAGATGAGCATAGGAAGTTTACAGCTTCATGTCTGTTAATATTTCCTTGCAAATATATGCAGTAGTACATATTTAATGTTGGCAGTGTTTAGTCTACACAGCTATCTATGAATAACATTACCGATATCATCTTGTTCACTGCTCGTATCCATTTGCAATAATTGGAATAAACCAATCGTTATTTATTTACCGTCTTGCTGAAGGCGCGATTGATTTGATCTCGGTCTGACTCACAAATCTTATTAGGTATGCAGATACACGTGGGTGTTGTGTAAACGAGCAAGATGCAATAATAGTATCCGTCAGTTCGGACGTTATTGTTGTGGTCGGGAGGCGGGGAGGGCGGGGTCACGAACACGATCGTCTATTAGCGGTTTGTTAGCGCGTCCGCGCTTCGTGATCCCGCTTTGATCACTTCCGACGTTTCACGCGAGTACCAACTCATCCGATCCCAATATGAATTATGTACAATATAAATACCGTGATTCAAATCTCACGTAACGGACTTTCAAGAGCCTTGCATACTTACATTTGATTTAATACAGTTATTAAATTACCACACCCATTTATCCTTCTGTCAGTTTACAGTCTTCTCCTGACTCAACCAATCATTTCGTAGAAACGATAATTCTATTTTTTCCCAACAATATTTAGACTGCGTTAAAAGCAAACCGTCGTTGAGACTGGAATTGTTTTGTATTTAAAGTACAGAAATATCTTGTACAGGTGGTATGAAAATATCGCAACATCTATAAACTAATTTGATTTGATAGCTAAATTGCGGTAAACAGACAGGCTACATTAGACTCTACCGCGCTCGGAACTGTTTATACACGCACACATTGATACCAACTGTAGCACTTAGCGTATTTAAATTGAATCAGGTAACAAATCAGTTTATTGTTGAAGTAAATATTGCACTTGCAACGATAATACTGGATTCAATAATATAACAGATGCCATTCACGTGCCGCCCACCTCGGCGGATATTTCGCATGCTCTCATCGTGCATCCCTGTACAAACATACAATCAGGACCTCAACGTCAACAAATTGGAGAGCACGCCCACTCATTTACTGACCACGTAGAAATAAAATAAATACTGGAAGTTTTTCTCTATAATCGATATTAATCGTTTTTATCAAAACTTTTTTGCAAACTTAATAATAGGATTTAGTAGAGATATAAATTGAGTGCTCAAAATAATTATGACACTGATTTATTGGTATCATAATTTTAAATTAATAGTTTGTAACATTTTATTTATTTAAATCGAACCGTTAATCGTAATTTATTATGTGGTTTTAAATGGTTATCTAGGTATTGTTGAGCGCTTCCAGTCATCGGCATGATTTTATTTCTTGAGCTTATCTCCGTTTATTTTCGCATTGAGAAAGCCCCTGCGTGATCGCGGTATCGAAGAACTATCCCGATGCAAATAATACACAAATTGCGCAGTGAATATCCATAACTGGCGCCGAGCAATAGCCATATAATGAGTCCAAATCGATTGCGCTTCGTGAGTCCACCGGATGCTCTCTTATCCCGTGTACCGTCTGATTTACGATCTGTTAACAGATTATTCGTTCCATAACAGTTGCCAATCTCGTTTTTTATGAATTCTCGCACCTCAAAATTGAGTTTTGCCTTAAAGGGCTCTCGCAGTGAACAACTGGTGCCTTTTTATTGGTCGAAGATGCGCCTGTTATAGACTTGATCGTAAATAAAATGTATACAAATTTGGATTTACTGCAGAAGAAAATAATTTGCTGGGAACGTTAATTTCTAAGAAGTAATATAATTGTCAATATTATACCTCGCAGTAAACATTTATACAGGATGATAAATTGTGGCTGACGGAGATAATATGTTAAGGAACGCAGCAAATCCTGAACAACTTTATTATTTCTAATGGTGCCGTTGAACAACAGAAAGCTTGAATAATTCGCTTAGATTTATTTAAATTAGCAATTCGACTTCAGTATAACTATTTAGTGCTTTCTAGATAAAGGTAAACTTTCCAAGACTGTGATTATTGCAAAACATAAAATTATACTTACAAATACCTAATTCGGGGAAATGTAGCTTCAAGTGCTGCTTAGTATTGTAATGCATCGTATTTATATAGCCTATTTGTGTGTGGAATTTACATAAATTAAGCTCACTACTAACCTAGCCTACTTAATACTAAAGACTTGTTGAAAGTGGGTATGTATGAATGTAGATAGCAGTAATTAACCTAACCTAACCTAGAAAAATACTAATTACATATATACCTAATACCTAAACATCATCACTACATAGTATAAAATAAAGTCGCTTTCTCTGTCCCTTTATCCCTATGTATGTTCTAATCTTTAAAACTACGCAATGGATTGTTATGCGACTTTTTTGTTAGATGGAGGGATTTGGTTGAAGGAAAAGGTTGTTTAGTGTTGGAAAAGTCAGCAAATGACTGCCCAGGGTGAACTAAAATAGAGTGTCAGACTCTTACTGATAAACATCTTGTCTGCTGTTATATCTGACACAATAGAAAACACATTTTTATACATACACATATCACGGGCATATCACACCCCATTCCCCTTCTCTTGCTCTAGGCCAAAGCCGCGGTACCTTAATGTGTTGGACCCGCAACTCCGACTGAACATCGGCCCTGTTGGACCCCGTTTAAGGTTTCCTTACGTTCCTTTCTTCCTATATGTTTAAAAACACCTATTAAATAGTGGAGAAATTTAGTTTCAGTATTGCACCCGTAGGTACGACGCCGGGGCGGGTCGCTAGTACGAGTAGTATATCAAGTGAATAAATACTCTGCTGTTTATTATAGATACACGTATAACATGGGTATGAGATTAAGGAAAATTTAAGCTTAGATTTATTTCAATAATAACCAACACCTAAATCGCTATTATCCAAATATAACAAGTACGTTTTTCGAACATAACAAAAGCATTTGTTCCTATAAAATATTTGTAAATCAACAGACCTTTCTCCTAAGTACAAGAATATAAAAGATACCTTTGTCATCTTTTACTTTCCTTTCCAAACGAAAGTGTCCTAGTTAGTATTAAAAAGGCTAAGTTAATGCACTTTTGTTACAAAAGTAGCCATTCAGTACCATACTACGATAATTATTATTGCTTAACTTTCGTTAATCGTCTGTTTGTTGAATTTTCCCTTTCTTTTTTATACATTCCTATTACGGTGCATAATGTCCCTCTGTAGGTATACATTTTTAAAGTTCTTTATTGCATTTTTAACTTAGCTTATGTTGATTCCTTCACGATAAGTGACAGTAATCAACACTTCGTTGGGTATTCAGTCTATCAAGATAAAGCAAATGGGAAATTCTAAGACATTATCTCATTACATATTTGGCTAAATTTATATAAAAAAGATTGTTTAAAGATAAAAACTGGACAGTTATAACGTGTAAGTAGTTTTTTATTTTTATTCAAAAGATCTGATATTTATTATCGTGTGGTCGAGGTTTTACAATATTTTTTTTACTTAGAAACATTTTATCTGAATTCTTGACGGAATTGTGTGTCTTACGAATGAATTCTCTACATTTCTTCAGGCTAACTTTTACTGTATCCAATTTGTTGAACTGTGACCGCCCTGTTTAAAATATATTGTAGATAAAATGCAAAATATAACACCACGGTCAAAGTGGAACTAACTTGTAAAGTGGTGACAGCCAAATGCGCCTGCGCCTATAAGCGCGGGCGATGTGCGGGACACAAAATGTTTAATAAAATAGACGATAAACGCAAAACATAATGCAGCTTTACTCGAATGAATTGAATTTGCATAAATGTAATTGTGTATTGTCTTTGTTTGAATTGTGTTACGCTGAATGATCACGGAACCCTGATCTTTGAATAAGTTCAGAATAATCCGGCATTCAGCATTCATTAATGAAAATAAATTTTAAAACTTTAAGGCTTGTTTGGGCCATATCAGGGATTTAGGTATCACAAAATCTTTAAAAATGCAAATGTTTATTTTCATTTATTCTGAAAAGTAATTATATTTTAATAATATGTATGAATTTAGTCATTTTATGGTCGTTGGCCAGCTCAAGTTCTTAACGTGATTCGTTTATTGTAATAGTTAATCAGATTACATATTTCATGAGAAGCGAGCGTCTCAGCAATATTTCATTTGTGTCGCTATGCCGAGCGCGAGATAAAATCTTCAAGTATTGGCTCAATAAGTAGGATCGGAACAAGATACAAAAGGAGCCGATATTGATCGAGTACCAGCTCTTCCCTATACTAAAGCGTTCCAAGGACGTTCCTTATAAGGACACGACGATGTTTAATAAATATATATGTTGACTGTTGGACTTGTCCCATGACCGATGTTCACCAGTCGATTGTTCAGCTTACTTTGTTTTTTCATGTCCGTTCCTCGCGATTCCGGTGGCCACCGTCGATTCCCTTTTATGAATATTTCATATTATTGTAAACGACTTTATCTGCAGCACAATGTTGCATTCAATATTTGAATTTTATAGTTCTTCGAAAATGCCTGTCGACTACTGTAAAATTGTGACCGCCCTCGGCTTTCACAAGACGTTTACATTTTATTATT